CCCAAATATGGAGCTTGCTTACATATCCCAGCTTCTTCAGGTGGTCGTGAATGCTTGAATGATGGATGTTCAATGTTTCTGCAATCTCTTGTGTCATGTACCATGGGTTTAACTCGATCAATGCCTTTATTTTGTCATCATCAACCTCAGTGCATCATCAACCTCGGTGGGCTTCTCTGACCGAGGAGCATCGTTGAGATAAAAATTACCAGCCTGAAATTTCATGAACCATCATTGGCACTGATGTTCTTGTAGAGGATTGTCACTGTATACTTGATGCAACTTTTCACAAGCTTTCTTCCCTTTATGGAAGTAGAACAGTAAACTATGGCAAAAATGCACAATTTGGTCTTCTGTCTTCAACTTGTTGTAAAATCTCCAAAACTCAACCAAATTGCTCAATTATTTTTTAGAATGAAGCTAGAACTGTCAGATGTCAGATGACATAGCAATAACATAGATGCGAATGACTCTAGTACTTTCAAAAATGAACTAGTGCCATGTATTGCAAACAGGCATCATGACTTTTCCAACAACTCAATATTTTTACTTTGCTGTCATCTCCTCAGAAGTTTATTCTCAAGGTATTCCAAAGATTTTTACACCATAAATAATAATAGCAAGGCTGAAGATTGGTGAACATAGGTTTTGTTTGTTTGTTTGGTTGGTTGGTTGGTTTGGTTTGTTTTTTTGTAAAGTAGGAGAAATGCAAAAAGAGGTGACAAAGAATAAGTTTTAATCTCACAGATGCATTTTGAAAAAAGTACACACAGAGATTGAGGGTTTGGGAAATGATTCTTTAAAACTATGCATACCAATATATACCTCTGGATAAATCTTAATGTACTCCCAGGGATATGAGTCTCCCAGTATGAAGACTGCTGGTTTAGATGATAACCTGTTACATGGTTTATCTAGTACTGAAATAGTGAATTGAAATATATTTCCTACCCTATATAGGCTCTACTCTATTTTAGTTCTTTCTTGGGTACCTAGAATAGGATAAATTCATCTTTTATTAAAGATTCTATGAAGCATTCCCAACATCTTCCCATCTCTAGTATTAATATTCCCAGTTCCTTGAATTGCTCATTATCTCCCATTGTTTTAATCCCTTTACCCTGATAGTTATCCTCCCATAAAGAATACTCAAAATTACCAACATTTTCCTGAATTTTGATGTCCAAAAAAAATGTTTCTATGCCAGGGAGAACATATTAACCTTAATATTTTCTTACAATGTAAAGAGCAACCATTTACTGAATGCTTACTATATGCTTAGTGCTTTAAATAACGCTGCAAAGAATACTCATATATTATTATTATTATTATTCTCATTTTGCATATGAGAAAACTGAATTTAAAAACAAAACAAAACTAGATAATCTGAACAAAGCCAAAAGCTTTATTCAGTACTAAAGCTTGTTTATTAATTAGTTGCTGGCTGGGCCAGTAGTTGATTTAACAGTAATATGACAACTTATGGAGCCTACCTCTGTAGGTTGAGTAGTCAAGATTTAAGATTAGGAAAAATGTCAGGATCACCTGAACATCCTCTGGAAGAGTCCCTGTAAACCTAAGAGGAGTCTAGCATGTATCATGGTCTAGAATGGCCTGCCTCTGTGACCTAATGAAGGGAAAGCGTTTCTAAACCAGACTCTGCTCAGTCCCAGGGAGTGTGTCAAAAATCTGGTGGACTGCTGCTGGGGGAGAGGAGGACCCTATCAGTGGGGCTTTCCATCTCCCGTCCTCTGCTTGAACCAAACAGCTCTGCTTTTCTCTAATTTTATTTGTTTAAACTTCCCCAATCAGAAGTATATAGAGATAGAGATAAAATCGAAATAGAGATTCAAATAGAGATTTGTGCGTGTGTGCACATGTGTGTGCATGTGAGAGAGAAAGACAGAGAAACTACTAGTCCTTTAAAGAATACTAATTTTGGAATCAGTTTGCTTGGGTTTGATCCCAGTAATATACTTACTATTAAGTGACTTGGGCATGGTCTTTAGCTACTCTGAGCTTTAGTTTTCTCACCTGAGTTCACGAGGAACCCAAATGTCGAGCTTGCTTATGTATCCCAGTTCTCAAAGATTTCTGTCTAACAAATAAGTGAATAAATGAATAAATACTTTTGTATTTTGGCAGAAAAATAACCTTGCAGAATTGTTAATAATAATTAACAATTATTATTGTTAATATAGGGAGAGTTTAGTATAACCTGGCACATAGTATTTTACAAATAATACTAATAATACTAACAATAATAGCATTTGTTATTATTATTGATTCAGCGCTTTTGTGGATTTTTGTATGAGGTGCCCATGTGGCACTTCTGTCCAACCTGGAGACAGAAGATAGAGATTTCTCATCAAATTTGAGAGCAAGTATCATACGTTGCTGAATACTTGGAACCTGCCTGAGTCCAGAATGGCTTTCCCATCACAAAGGACAAACCTGGGAACGTCAGAAGCTTCTTGGTCCTCCACTCTTGGAAGTGTGGCTTGAGAAGTCTGGTGGCAAAACAGTTGCAACCTGTTGTCTGGAAGAGGCCTTGCTATTGTGCCAGATGTGCCTAAATCATATAGTGGGATCGATTCTTGCAGCTTAAGAGGTATGAGTGTTTGCTGTCACTGCTATTCCTGGGTATTGAATCGCACTCCCTAGTGACATCCAAGTTTATGTGTTTAGTACGTTCATTCCCTGGGTAAGAGCAAATTATAAACCTATAGCCTATTCTTGAAAGAGAAAGGGAAAAATATGGCTGGGATTTTGACCTGAAAGTTAATCTATCTAAATCATTTTCAGTTAGATACCATTATCTTGTGGATCACATTTGTCTGCTGTAGATTGTAAGTTCTCCAGGGCAAGACCTTGTCTTTTCAGAGGCTGTGTAAAATGGTGCATACTTTCAGCAATCCTGGTATAACAAATAGTTATTATTTATAACAAAAGAATATGAACAATGGCAGCCTCATCACATGTCCTAAAAGCTTGGTGTGCAAAAGGATCCCATTATATACATATTGTAATCCTATTACAATGTATTGTAAAGGTATGTGTCTTCCTCACTGGGAAAACCCAAGAACTCATTCCTCCAAGTCTAAAATACAGACTAGTGAGAGTTAAGTTTAATTATGTAAAGTTTTTTTGGCTTTACAAGACAGTTTTTCTAAAGAGTCTCTTTAAATAGCCAGATCCCTTTTTGGAGTATTCAAAATTGGATTTGCTTTACAAAATGTTTAGACTCAACTTTTCAGGATCAAAGAGAGGATACAAAAATGGAATATTGTATGTCAGGTGTCAGTGGTGAAGTCTCATTTGGTGATCACAGTAAAAACAAGGCTCAGCCTTCCACCTCTGAGCCCCTCAAAGTCAGAATGTCCAAATGTGGAAGGTGGCTTTTACAGGGCATTAGGTGCCCTCGTTCCAATCAGGACAGCTAAGCCAGCATTGGGGTCATTGGCCATCATTAGCTGTGTGACTCTGGCAGCCACGGGCATCAATCCATGCTCTGAGCAATCATGCATTATTCAGCATGTACTCAATTATTCACTTAAATGGGAATATCATTTTTTTTAAATTGAGACACTTGTGAAGAAAAAACTGATAACTTTTATTCAAATAAATGGGAACAGAATTATAAATTGTGGACAAGTAGAGGAAAAATATAAGTTGGAGAAGGACTAGATAGGAACACAGGATCAGAAGGAGCGACCCCCACCACCCAGGTCACAGACAAACAACCTTTCTGCCCCATGTCAAGCCCTCTTTCTTACAAAACCCTCTGCTTGCAAATACAAGCAGATAGGTGGGCATCAGTCATTCCTGCTACCTCTCAATTCTGTTGCATAGCAGGGATAAAACAGCAATGTATACTGCATTACTCAATTTAGCAAGCAAGTATTACACAGACAGTGTGTTAGACTCAATGATAGGAAGAACACAAGACCCAGAGGGAAGACGGAAATCCACATTTAATAAGGCACCTAAATGCCTTTGAAGACCCTGCAATGTTTTTATATGCCATTCCAATCTGGCTTCTCCAGTAAAAAAATGAGAATACTTCATTTTGAAGGTGGCTACTGTAACCAAATACACTACTCATGTTTTCCCAAGCGTTCTAAACCAATAGTTGATTTGTCTCTGTCCAGATTCAGGCCGGCTGATGAGACTCTTTCAGGAAGTTCTACCCATTGTGCTGAAAGGCTCTTGTTAATACAACAGCAAAGGCACAGAGCACTTTACCAGCATTAGGGCCAATGAAGGGGTACTTTGTAAGAGGCACAAAAGGGCAGTTCATTTCGGCGCTCCTCTGAGTTATTTTCCGTCTCTCTCCCATGAAAACCGTGTGTGTGCTTTGTGTACTCACGAGTGTCTAGATTATCAGCATAGAAGGAGTGTTTCAGGCGCTGAGTGGGTCTTGGGCCTGGAGATGAGTGTGTGAGGGAAGAGAGGAGGGACATGGTCAGCTGAAGTGAAAGATAAGTTAGAGATGCTGATGGAAAAGAAAACGGTTAATTTGGATTGTTTGATGTTAAATACATGATCAGGTTTGTATTTCAGGTTCTGTCACGTTTGCAATCAGAAATGGCCCTCTCATCTCAAGTACGCAGTTTCTGTTCAGAACCAGCCCAGCGGAGGCAGGAGAGGAGTGAGGGGTGATTCTCAACGGCCCAGGGAGAAAAATCTAATGTGTGCCCTGGAGGAAGATGGATCTCTAGAGTGTAAAAATGTGTTCCTGGGACCATGTAGGAAAGGGTTGAAGGTGAGGAATCAGGCAGCCAGAGAAATGAAGCTTCAACCCTTCCTAGGCATAGGAGTGCGGAAGGTGGGTTGCTCACAGGGTAGGGGTGGAGGGTGCTCCTCATGGCCCCTGGGCAGGGGAACGGCAGGGAACTGGGAACGTGTGTGGCAGAGGCTCTGCCAGGACGAGATGTTGGGGTATGAGAGTGGGGTGGGGGCCTGAGGGGTGGCTTGGAGCCCTGGCGGTGGCTGCCTGACGTCACCGGCCTCTCTGGCAATAGGCTGCGAGCTGAGCTCCCCGAAGCGGCAGCAGCGGCGGCGGCAGCGCGGCTTGGTCTCTGGCCCCTTCACTCCGCGCCTTCTGCAGCCGCCACTGCAGCCGCGCGGCGGGGCTCCCTCCCTACAGCCAGCTGGCAGCCCCAGGTAAGGGACGCGGTGCGGCTAAAGGCTCGGGACAGCCGGGCGGCAGGGTGGCTGGGCGCAAGTGGGTAGGACAGACCCGGCGGCCTGCACAGGCACCCCTGGCCGTGGCTTCGGCCCCCGCCCCTGCCCCGGCCCCGGCTTGCGCGCCGCCTCGCTGCTCCGCAGTGCAACAGTTTGCAGCTGCCTCTTGAGAGCGGCAAGGGGCTCTGCTGCTCTCTGCGGATCTACCTGGCTCTGGGAAGAGCCTCGGGGCCCTCGGGCTGGATCTGGGAAGGCCGGAGAGAAGGTCGGGAGCCTAAACTTTGCAGGCGGGAACCCTCCCCCTTCTGTTTCCAGCCCCCTAGAAAGAAGCAGGATACAGTCAAGTGGGGGAGGGGGCACAGAGAAATGGGGCGTTTGCGGAGATGTGTTTTAGCTGAGAGGTGCTTCAGTTGCTTTTGGGGGTGGGGGTTGGGGGGGGTGGGTACCAAGGAAGAAGGCTGGAGAAAGAATGGAGCGGGATCCTGCGCGTCAGCCGCGGCCGTGGACAGAGGCGGAGCGGGATGTGGTGCCAGAGGAACCCCATGGGAATGGGACCTAAGGGATCTGACGCCGTCTGGAAAGGGAAAGTCGGGAGGTAGAGAGACGGGAAGAGAGGACTGCATACCCGGAGCCCGCTCGGCGACCGGGGGTGGGTGCTGGGCAGGGTAGGATCCAGGGGAAGACATCCACTGAGAGGGCGCAGGAAAGAAGAGAGAGAGGCAGGCGCTCTGGGAAGCAGGGACCGCGATGCGAGGCGGCTGCCTTCTGTTGTAATTAGAAAGTTGTGGGGGGCGCAGGCAGACTGCCTTATCTGCTGAGTAATCCTCATCTCCGCGGTGCCGGCGCAGACCCCTTCCCAGATAGTGTGGATCGAGCCCAAAGCTGGCGCCTCTGGTTTGCGGCCAGGGGCGGGCGGTCTGGGGGTCCACCCGCTGCGGAGAAGACGGGCAGTTTTCAGCTGAGGCAGTGTGCCCAGAGGGCTGCTTTGCAGTGGCGCTGGTCCTTCCGGTCCTCCGCACTCTCATGGGCAGCGACAGGGATCCTAACTAAGCCTGTTCTCTTTGCAGCCTGGTGCCTTGGCAAAGGAAAAGGGCGCGCGGACACGCGTTCGAGGCGGGTCCTGAGAGGATCTCCGGGGCTCCGCTTGCTCCCCTACGGGCTTGCTTGCCCGCAGTTGCTCCCTCAGTTCTTCGCTCGCGCGCGCATCCACTCCCACACCAGGGAGTTGTTTTGGGTGGCGTGGGCTCCGTCCTCTTCCTGGCCGGTGGGAACGGTGTGCCCAAGAGAGGAAGTCTGGTGGGCCCAGCCCCTCCCAGCCCAGCGCCGATGAGTGCCAGGGCGCCCAAGGAGCTGAGGCTGGCGTTGCCGCCGTGTCTCCTCAACCGGACCTTTGCTTCTTCCAACGCCAGTGGCAGCGGCAACGTGAGTGCCCGTGGCCCGGGCGCAGGCGGCGGCACCTGCATTACGCAGGTGGGACAGCAGCTCTTCCAGTCCTTCTCCTCCACGCTGGTGCTGATTGTCCTGGTCACCCTCATCTTCTGCCTCATCGTGCTGTCCCTCTCCACCTTCCACATCCACAAGCGTAGGATGAAGAAGAGGAAGATGCAGAGGGCTCAGGAAGAATACGAGCGGGATCACTGCAGTGGCAACCGCAGCGGCAGGGGGCTGCCCCCGGCGGGCGGCCAGGCCCCAAACCAAGTAAAAGAAACCCGGCTGGAGAGGCAGCCCCGGGACTCGGCCTTCTGCGCCCCCTCCAATGCCCCCTCCTCTTCTTCCTCCCCTGGCCTCGAGTGCCAGGGTCCCTATGCTCCCCCACCTCCACCACCTGCCCCCAGTCCTCAAGGAGCACACGCAGCCTCCTCCTGTTTGGACACAGCTGGCGAGGGCCTTTTGCAAACGGTGGTATTGTCCTGATTGTCTAGCCCCTGTCTTCTCCCCTTCCTTGTTTCCAGCATCTTTGCCGTCCTCGCTTTCCCCCTCCGTCCTCAGTCTTTCACTTCCCTCTTGCCTCTTTCCTCTTCCTTCTTTCCTTATCTGCCCCCCACCCCTTACTGTTTCTCCTCCGCCGAGGCACTGTGCGGTATTTGTAAATATTGGGTGAGGAAAGTCTCGGAAGAAGAAATAACGCTGATAATAATACTTTATTATTAATATTTATAGTAATTATTATAATACTAATAACAATCCAAGCGCATGACAAATCACATAATTTCTCATTGTCAATGAAGGATGCGTCTTCCCTCTCCACCCTGCGCCCCCCACAATAAGGAGGAGAAACCGCACAAGCTACCAAATATATAACAGGCATTGACCCCGGAGCGAAGGGAGTGGAGGGGGCCCGGTGTGTTGTACATAGCTGTCAGGTTAAGGTTCAGTTACCGTCCTTCCCCTCCACCCCCACTAAGCTTTCACTTTTCCTTCAGCTTCCCTCCCTTCCCCATTCCCATCTTCAGCCAGGCTCAGGCAAAAGTATATTATAAAGAAAACGTCTGCATTAAGCACCAGGACTACAAGAGAGGTCACAGAGACAGTCCCAGAAAAACGTTTATGACAGGTACCGCTCTCCAGTCAGCCCTCTTCTCACCCCTGTGAACCACACCCTTTTCCAGGAACAGGCATTTTAATTTACTTTTAGATATGTCCCTCGCTGGCCGAGCATAAGTACATTAAAAATCTTTGAGTTTAAATAAAAAATAAAAAAAGAATCTACCGCTTTAGCTTCCTGTCCCGCCCCCACCTGTACACCTTTGACTTGTGGCATTTTCAGGATTCACAAAGGATCCGGGAGCTGTCCAGCCAGGTGTGGTGCTGAAATTGCCTACTGAACTGGTTACTTTTTTTGGTTGTGCAGGCCAAGGAGGGGCTGTTTTGGAAAGTGACTATTCTAGTTTTTTGTTGGTTTCTTCTTTTTCTACAATCGGGTTTGTGTGTACTATCGGTTTTCTTATTATTAAATATTGCATAAATTACCTTTTTTTGTAAAGAAAAAAATATATATATTAGGTGATGTCCAGTACTGAAAGTGCAGTATCTAACAAACCAGAATGTTTCTGTTTAACTTTTAGAACAAGTACACCTTTGTTATATACTTATTATATTGGTACCACATACAGAAGCAAACTATAGTTCTGTTCTACGTCCTCCAAACTGTATATTGTTGTTCTTAATTTCCAGCTGTTGGTATAATGGTTACCACTGGATGAGGAATTCAGTGGTGCAGGCCTGGCTTCTGCTGTTTCCAGAAGTGTTATTTTGTATCTTACTCTGTAGTAGACTGTTATAAAAAGATAACATATATGTTTTCTTTTTTCTTTTGCAAATAACAGAAACTACCACAACAGAAAAAAAAAATGGATGTGCAGGAATGCCATCTATTAAAATATGGTTAATATTTAAACAATGCCTGTAGTCCTCCCTGCATGCAGTTACCACCTGGAGGCAGTGGTGTGTATGCTTGCTTGTACTGTATGTGTTTGGAGGTGAGACTGGTGGGGATGTTGGGCAATTTGGATGACAGGACATGCAAATTTTAAGAGAAGTTAAACCCAGTAACTACTTGTAGGATAAAAATGTTTGCAGCTTGTTTAGTTAAAAACCTGTGCTTGTATCTGATATGTGATAAAGGAAGGGTTATCTTTCACTTTCTGATTCTGGTTTACCTAACTTCAATGAATACATGAAGAAAGGCTGAGAAAAAGAAAATTGAGAGAAGAAGATAAATTTGCTTCTGTTCTTTCTCCTAATGCCAGACAAGGACATCTATGCTAGAAATGGAATCCACCAATGGTTATTTACTACTTTGTTTTCCCTGGATTGATGATAGAAGGAACCAGAAGCATATTACAATCTTAATTATATGCAGTGGCATCTTTTCTTGGAAACCAATTTTCCAACAGTTATTCAAATGTTTGGAAAATGTATGAACTAGAATGTTATACAAAAAGTTCAACCAAAACTGCCCATACTAACCTGCAGAGTGTAAAGCAACAGCGCCCTTAAGTGCATCCCTCTCCCAAGTAACTAGTAGTTCTAGAGTCTTTGTCTTGGTTCCAGGCATATGTGCTTTTTTCCATAGAAAATATTACCTCTGAGGTTTTAGGTCAACTATTAATATTAAATTGCCCAAGCTCAGTTTGCATCTTTAATAAAAATAATTTAATAAGCTTAATTTTAATTGCCCATTAGATATTCACTCAAGTCCTTTCCTGAAGCACAGAGGATCATCATTTAAGCATGCCATGTTGTAATATTAGGAAGACCAGGTATAATCTTTGGGTACAATATGTTCAACAATGAACCAGATTCTCTCCAGTGCCTTAGTCACTTCCTAGTAATAGATAAAAGAATGCATTAACTCCCTCAGGCCACTAGGGAATCCTTTAGTGCATCAGAGCTATACATTGTACATCAGAATGACTAAGGCACTGTGAAGAAGAAAGTCCATTAAGTTTTGTAGCTCACCCTCATCTGGCTGTAGCTCTTTAATACCTTATTACAGGATGACTTTTGGACTTGAAATTTGATAGAATCAGGGACTCAGAAAGGAGCTTTCTCATTTCTGATGAGCTCCACTAAGTGCATGAATATTACTTTCTCCCCTTTATTTGGTGCACTTTTTACAGTGAAAAATTTCCCATTTTATTAAAGCAATAAGATGTTCTGTTGTGAGCAATGCTGGATGATGATTCCATTTCCTTGGTGCTGAAGCTACTCATACATTCTTGCCTTATGAATCATAGTGCATTCAAGGCATGCAATAATAATCCCTTTCCAACAAGCAGCCTGTACACTCTAGGGGGTAATTATGAAATTGTCCTATGTAATTTCCGTCCAAAGGAAAGAAGAAACAGGAGAAATAAAAAAGATTATGCATATTGTGTTAAAAATATCTTGATACCTCCAAACATGGGCACACATCCATAATATGCTCTTATTATACACCTTTAAATATGTGTGCCTTTCTCCATTAATTGACTATGGCTTAATATTTTTAATAGTGGTTTGTGTAAAGATGATGTGGTTTGTGAGTCAGATGTCACTCAGAGTTTAATATACTCAGACCCCTAAGCTTCTGAGTCTTGAGACTTTTTGAGATAGAGAATTATGTGAAATTCTAGTAATGCCAGTCCCCCACCAAATTATTGCAATAAGCACATATCTAAGCAATTTGCACAGATCTTGTTTAAAGCATTGCATCTTACAGAGCTCAACTGATAGTCTCAGGAGTTTGGGATGCTACCAACAGGGCATTTTGGATTTCATTTATGTGAAACAAAAGGCAATCTGGAAATAGCTAAATTTATTTTTAAAATTTTATTCACTGATGTCCCGTCAAACTAATTGCTTCAAATCCCTATAGCTACAGCTCAACTTCTGCACTTGCTATTCAGTATTAATAAGGTGGCATGCTTGATTCTTATTGTTTTTAAAAATGAGAACATTGGAGAAAGAATACCATTATGTTAACTGTATTGGACTCTGAATCTTAAAGATGTAGATGGATATAATCTTCTTTAGAATTTATATACACCCATAGATATGTATTTATATATACATACATTTTGTACAAATTTACAATGGACTTTTTGTATTCTCTTTTCTGTCATTACAAGAATGAGATGGAAACCAAATTGTTGTTCCATCCTCTTATCCAAAGAGGATACTGAGAAGTCAGGTATATGCATGTACTTATTTCTCTGGGGTCAAATCTGAATGACTTTCTCTTTATTTAATGAAAGGGGAGAGTCCTGGTTGGCTCAGGAAGTTGGTAATTAGATAAGCTTCCTTTCCTAGTTAGTGACTCAAATGTAGCAATGATAATGAACTTATGACCATATCTATGTGGTCTTACTATCTAGATGGAAAGCAAAAATATCTAGAAGAGGTTTAGGACCACCTAGACCACAAACCTGGATTGTTGCTCGATTTTTTGTTTTCAACCTATATGTTGTGTGGAGATACAACTTATATCTGCATAGCTAAAGGTAAAGTGAAAATATGACCATTATATATTTAGTTTGCTAAGTAGTTTTTGGAAAATATGGGTAAATTAGCTTTAAAAAACTTTGGCATCTGACTTTTCCACCATTTCTATCTGTATCAATTGAATCAATTAGATAATGTTTAAAATTCCATTTTCCCCCCATTATGCAGACATATATGCTTTAAATGCTTTTCTGTGGGTGACAGTTGAACAATTGCTAACTGATATTATGTGGAAGTTATAGGTTAAATTAGAACAAGAAATTTTAATCTAATCTGGTCAAGCTCCTCAGGTCCACTCCTGTGTGAATATGGACTTCAAACCTGAATCTGAAAAGCTGCTTTTCTGGGCCATCTTTTGCTGAAACTAATGATGGTGGTCTGTAGATATTTTAGTTCACATGAGAACGACTTGACCTATCTATAGAGGGGTATTTAATAATTGGATTGAACATAAATCTGATTCTGATTTGGTTTTTGATTTATTTGATAACATTTGAGAAACAGCTTGATGGCTTGACACCAATATTTATTAATGTCACCAACCTAATAATACAATTGGTGTTGGGTAGGAATGCTGAGCTAAGAATTAGAATTTAATTAACTTTAATTGGGGCAATATCTTATCAAGGTGGTCCTATCTGTTTGAGACAGGGACACTTGTGATTTCACTGAGTTGTTTTTATAGAGAGATTAACAACAGTAACGATGACAACAAGAACAACAACAGAAAAAGCTGATTTTTGAACGTGACTATATCTGACAGAATAAAACAGATATCAGAATTCATGGAAACTTTGTTTTGCTTTTCTATCAATAAAAGAGTTTTCTTGTTAAATGGCTTTTTGTCACTACTTCCTTATTAATTTAATTTATTATATAGCAGGATTACAAAATTACTTGTTCTATTACCCTCAAATGCTCAAAGAAATTGTTTTTTGTTGTTGTTGTTTGTTTGTTTTCTAGCTGAGCCATCCTGCCACCTGTTGGCAGCTCAGCTTGGGCCGGGCATCGAACCGCTGTTGCTCAGAGCTCAAACTCTTGAGCGAGCTCTTAACCAACTGAGCCACTTGGCCGGCCCTAGTTGTTTGTTTTTTGTTTGTTTAAATTCTATCACTCATCTGACATTCCACACAAACCAAGTGCATACGAGAAATGGGAAGAGTATAAATTTTAGTACAACTCAATAAACTGAGTCAAGCAGAATAACTTAGCAATTCTTTAAGGCAGATGCTCAGGTTCTTTAGGTCACATGATTAGTCTCTCGACTCCTTTTTCCCTGCCTATACTTCTCTAATATAACCAGGTATGTGGGGAAAGAATATATTTGTTGATTTTGTGGCATTTAGGGGGAACGGGGAGCCTCAGATTCATATAAGTTACTATGGATCCTAGCTGAACCCTGCTGTAAAGCAGCTGATTGGGACTGCTTCATAATCTGAGGTGCTATTGGTCTATCCAGTTTGTGTGCTGACATTCACTACTGCAGCCTTAGACCCCTGGACCTTTGTCCCTGGTCTCAAAGTAATCATCCACATGAGTCTATTAATTTTTTCCCCCCTACCATCTCTAGGTCTAGCAGTGCTTTCACACTTTGTCCCCTTCTGGTAGATATAGAAACTCCTGTGTGCTCTGCACACCATGGACCTACTACCGAAAGGCTTGGATGGATTCTAGCTCAGGATTATTCATCTGTCTACCTCCCACTGCCACTTCAGCTTTACTAGCCTTGCTCCATGTCAGATGGTACCATGAAGAAGGATTTCCTCTGAGGTCTTGTAGCCCCAATTTAATACATTCCAGAGGAAGGTGGTGCCATTTAGCCTTAACCCTTGGGCTTCTCCAAAGCTATTTAGATATTTATGAAGCACCACCAGCTTCTTCTTGACTCCTGTGTGTGGAGAAGAGAAGCATGAAAGCCTTAATAGCTGCTTGCCTCACTTTCCTGTCTCATTTTTTATAACCAAAATTGCCCCAGACTGCAAGAATCAGATTTTCCTCCTAATGCCCCTTTTATTCTAGCCTAGATTTCTCCTACTATCCCACTTCTGCAGTAGACTTCGTCCCCCACTTTCTAACTTCAGCCTTCTGACTATCTCTTAATGGAAGTTTGACAGGGTGTAGGAGACAAGAGAGATAAGTTTATTGATAAGGGATCCTAAATTGAGAGATATTGAAACATGTAATGCTACCTTTCTATTCTTGCAAAGGACATTTACTCATGATTAAGGTTCTATGCTTCCTTTTTCCAAGAAGGTGAGAGCTTGATCATTATCCTACATTTATTTCTCTATTAACTTCTACCTAATCCCTCCAAGTTTGGCTAGAAAACCTGGGTACTGATTGGATCGTTTACCTCATATCACTATTTGTTCTCCAAGAAGATACAGTCTCTCCCCAATACTGACCCATTGCTTCACCCTACACCTACCTTTGTGGAGCTGCAGAGTGTGTGTTGGAAACATTTTCCTTGAGGTGGGACAAACTTCTGGTGAATGTTGAATATGGCAGTGGAGATGAGCACCTATCTCTTATCTAAAGACAACCCAATTTCTAACCATGGTCCTCTTTACTCCCAGGAAGTAAATATTCTTTAACCTCAGCTATTTGGCTCAAGGAGAGATGAATGTTCACTTAGCTAGCTCTTACAAGACTGACAATGGATCTCCTCGCTGACTCCTTGGATCTCCTGGGGTAGACTTAATTGATGAACTACTAGCTGGGTGTTCTCTTTCTGATTAGTTGTTGAAGTCCAATCTCTTCTTCCACAAATACCATCTCCAAATATATCCCAGTCTTGAATTGATATTGATAGTATTGGGTTTTCCTCTGAAAAGTTGGCTCTACTTTTCAAAACTTTACAGACCAAGAAGGGGCTCTAGTGATAACTTTTCTTAACCCCTCTTTTCTACCTTATGCTGACCATCCTCTCTCTGTATTTGCAAATTCCATGTCATGACCCTGACTCAGGATTTTTAATTTTAGCCTAGAAGCCTATAATCACTTCATGGTACAAGTATTTGCTGCACACAGATTCTCAAAAATTCTGGAAAACACCCTCAAATGCACTGAAGTGACAAAAATACTCTCCTTTTACATACAGATGTGCAAAGCAAATGTGGCTTCTCTGTTTTCTCTATAAGTCACCTTATCTTTCTCATAGGGACCAACTTACAGAGTGTCTCTTTGAAAAAAAATTCAAACTCTCAAGTTTTCTCTCTTTCCTCTGCTCCTGTCCAAGGTGGTATCTGGGTATGAATTATGTCATGGCAGTATAAAAGGAAGGTTCCTTAGACCTGTGTAGCATTAAAGAGATTCTTGCTGACTTGGGCTGCAGAGGGGCTAGTCTCCTCTGCCTCCTGGGAAGCAAGTTTCAGTAAGTACCCACCACTGGGCCTATAATCCTGGACATTTTTATGTAGTCTCAAATTCTGAATCTACAGCAGCTTTTTTGTTCCAAGTGCAGGATTTGCTATTTTGCTGTGTCCTAAGCCTCTCTGTCCCTCCCACCCCACCCCGCCGCCCATCTCAACTAGGACAAATGGGAACTTCTGAGTCCCTTAGTACATCCAATTCAGTCAATGGAAAATAAGAAGCCTTCTAGTTGCCTACTGTTCCACTGTCCCAGTGCCACTGCCTTCCTGTAGGAGAGAGAGTACAGTAATTCTCTGTAGTAAAAGCTCCCCCTCATATAGCCAGGGAGATTTTCCTACTAGCTTCAAAGTCCTCAGGCTCTCTGACCCTATCAGAATACTTATCAAAGGACCCTTTTTTATTGCTGTTTGTCCCTGACAAGGGTTTTGGGGAGCAAGAACGTTGGAATTTACCATATTCAATCAGTACTTTTTCTTTTCTTCCCCCGAAATTACCTAAGACTAGAAAGAATTGACTTTTGTATATGGTTTTTAAAGGACCTGCTCTGGTAAAACCAGACAGAAAGGGGGTAAATTTTGGACTTTTTGCTTTTTAAATGGCATAGCCTATACCCTGACTCTAACCTCACAGGTAAGTCTTAAAATGGAGGATAGAGTGTGAAAAAGTAACTGACCTACTGATAAACATTGCGAGGTGCTTCAAAAATATTTTACTGCTACAGTTATTTACATATAGGTAGTTATTTCAAGTAGAATGGAAGGAGTTAATTCAGTGACATTAGAAAGACACCATCTCCTCCCTCTACTTGCCACAGTGTGAAGTCCCAACTAAGCTCTTAACTAATGTAAGAGCTTGGTTCTAGTGGTTTATGTTGTAAGGCCCTGTCAAGCACATTTGAGAGAGATCATAGGTATCACCAGTATTTTGTGTCTCAGTGTGAATCCACCTTTTTTACAGACGCTGCCATAGAAAAGAGATGAGGAAGTGTAGGTCTCTAAGTTCCAAAGGGCAGACAACATAAAGGAAAAATAAAAAAAGGAGAATCTGGAAGACACACTTCTCTAGCTTTTGCCCTTGTGGGCCGGAACCTCTTCCCCCTGTTACACTGTGTCATGTGGGCAGATGCACAAAGTATGATGAATATGTGGCCATGATGTGGCAGGATTATTTGCAGGGTCCACCCAAATTAGTCCTGTTTGTAGACTCATAGGTAACTTTATTCTTTTGTTTCAGGTATATGGCCCTGTTTCTGACAGTTGTCAATCAACCTGCTGTCCCCACTCTTTGGTCACATTCCTATGGCTAATCCTGGATTGGCCACTGATTAGGTGTCATTGGCTGATGTTTTAAAATCTGGTTGGTGTGATCCCTTTGAATTTTTTGCCTCTAATATTTGAGAGTTCATCCAGTCAACAGATATTCATTTGAGTGTCAACCAAATGCCAGCCACCATTTTTGGTTCCAGAAATACAGCAGTGAACAACATAAACAAAATGTTCTAGTGTCATGGGGATTTTGTTCTAGTAGAGACAATAGGCAAAACCCATGAGTTAATTATGGAGCATATTGTAGGGAGAAAAGTGCTATAAAGACAATAAAGCAGGAAAGGGGGATAGGAGTGTACTAGGAGAGGGAGCTGGATTTTAAGTAGGGTGGTCAGAAAAGGACTCACTAAAAAAATGATATTTGAGCAAAGACTTGAGGAAGCCATACAAATATATGAGTTAATTGATTAAAAATTGTTTGGCTAGAGGGATTTGTAAAACCCATTTTACCCAAACCCCTAATTTTGTAAATGAGCAAATAGAGATTTTGGTAGGAAGAAGGCAAGAAACAAAAGCTTAATGAACAATGTGTCAAGTATTGACACCCCAAGTAGGGAAAAGGGGTTAAATCTGCCCTTAACCTTGAAGAGCTTAAAGTCTAATTAGCCAATAAATTTTAATTCTGTTCAAGTTCTCCGCGAGCTCAAAATGAGTAACAACTAAGTCTGTAAGGGGGGGTTTAGGAAAGGTTTTTCAGAGGAAGTAATACTTCAGTTGTGTTTTGAAGGATGATTAGGAGTTTACCAGGAAATGAAAAAATATTTTAAGCAGAAAGAAAAGTCCGAAAACACAGAAGTAAGAGCATTGTGCATATTTCGGGAATGTTGTGATGTTCATACTGAGAGTGACTTAAAAAGAAATCTGGAAAGTAGAATAAGCCAGATCATTAGGGGCCCTTCAAGAGTAGCTTTTGATAATGTGCCTTTTGTAGTCAGTGGGGAGTCAGTGAGGAATTTTGACTATAGAGAAGTTATAGATTTGGATTTTTAAAAGATTATTCTGGCAGCATCAGTGCATAGAATAGATACAATGGTGGTTGAAGACATGGAAGTAGAGACACCAGATAGAAAGCAACTGCAATAATCCTGTAACAAATGAGGAGGGTTTTAACCAATGGATGCGGGGATGAAGAATAAGG